TTTTACCAACCCAAACGCCCATCGCGCCCATACGGAGGATTGTCCAATACGTTCTTCCAGGATAGAAGCGAATGTTGCTGACCACGGAACAACCACACGAACCTGTTCCAACGATTCCCATATCAGACACCAGGAAAGTCGTAGGCTTCACCAGAGCATGTCCCAATGCTCCTTGATCAAAATGCGCAGCGTACATTCCATAACGCTCGCAAAAACATTTTACCTCTGGCCAACTCCAGAAGGTAGGACTTGAGAACCCTTTCTGAGAACCATCCACCAGATCCTCAGCACTCAAGACCGTTTTGTAGTTCTGAGAGAAATCTTTCCCTATGAGCTCAGGGTCCCCAGGACTTTCCATGCCAAAGAAGACAGAGCCCCCATTGATGACACCAGCAGTTCCACACCTCGAATGCACCGCCACGTCATATAGGAAAAGCATCTTCAGAAGTAAAACACCATCCTTTTGAGCTAATTCTTGATGTGGCCAAGGAAGACTCTTTAATCCAAACCGTTCAGGCCCACAGCGCCAGCGTAATACAGGTGGACCACCGTCTTCACCTCTCAACCTTGACACTGTCCTGCAGGGAGGTCCTCCAACCACAGCAACCACCTTTCCTTCAGCCGCCAGATGCAGAAGATACTTCCAGACGCTCGAATTGTGTAGGTCACCGCCTTTCTTCAAATCCAGCTCCAGTACCTCCACATCCCGACTGGGAAAATGCCATTTTTGTTTTCCCGAAAATAGGTGTACCACCACCCTTTTTGCTCGTGCCACCCGTCGCCGTCGCCTTTTATGACGGTTGAAAGGCAACGCAGCAATATCCCCACGTGGCAACAGCTCCATCAGCATATTTTCTGGTACATCACCATAATACCACCGAAGAAATCGCCAACAAGCCTGGACGAACTCCTCCTCGTTCGCTGACGCTGTCCGCGCTGCGCTTTGCAACGACGCTTTTACGGCCACTTCATTATTCGGACACCCTTGAACCATACGTGCCACCTTTAATGCTTGCTTTGGTGAGCACCAATCCATTTCATCAATGATCTGAAGCGCCACCTCCTTTTCTAAACAAGGGCACCCATTCAGATCTCGAACGCGAAGTTCCCCCAGAACAGGATGTGAGGCTGTGCACTTGCCACCACGCCACTGTACTCTGAGACCAACCAAGGCGCTCGCTTTGCCAATTGGCGCTAGTGGATCTACCATTTCAGGAGTTACCAGGGTCCCACCTGGGGTAATACTCATCTCCCGAGTCCAACGGCTAAAGACACCAACACCTTTTGCTGCGGAAGCTGTTCACCAGGACGAAGTGATCTGAGAGGATGTGATGCCCCCGAGTCCAACATGCCCATTCCCGAACACTCATTGGTGTCAGAAACCCTGGCCACACGTAGGACGCATACTCCTCGGCCTTCTCCCTGCTTCGGCAACAACGTGGCATCAGACGAACCGACTCCACAGTCCGCCCTTCCATTCCTCCATTGAGAATGGGACCAAGACGCACACTGTCTTTCAGCATGCAAAACCATCTTTTCAGCTGTTTTGTAATCCATAACCAAACAGCCATGTTCAAACCACAAGAGCTGGTCCAGCGAAGATTTTGCTCCCACGTGACACATCCCATTGATCACCGTGAGGTTCGCCCCAAACTCCAAGATCAACCAGGGAGGGATAATCAGAGGCCCATTGTCTTCCCTAATCAATGTCCCTTTCTCTGTAATCCTCATTATCACACCACCGAGCGCGCTTTGCACCGTAACAGTAGTGTCGGGTAAACATTCCCATGGAAAAAGCGTCCGCACAAGGTGTGTCGCAGCTCTATCCACCAAGGCCACCCTATTCTCATGCTGAAGTAACCCAGAATCACACAACACACGAATACTAGGTTCGCCGCTCGATCCGGCCTGCTGAGGTGACAGTTTCAAAGCCTTCAGCACCCCAAGCGCCTCAGCGTAGAATTGGTTAGGCGTTGGTGGGGACGAAGGACTTGCAGAACCTCCTTCAGTTCTCGCATTTGCAGTCTCTTCTCCTCCCTCAGCCACTTCTGCCTTTTTGGCATTACCCCATTTTGCACCTTTGCCGCCCTTTCCCCCCTTGGGAGAATTCCCTTTAAATTTATTCCTTTCGGAATTTGAGTCCGCATTGGGACTCGCACCATCTTTGTATGGACACTGCGGCTGTAACTGGCCAACGGCCCCACATTCGAAACATCTTCCACGCTCCAGGGAGTCCTTGTCGTGGCGAAACTTGCAGCGTGACCCGAACTTGCAGCCTGCTGCTGTCTTTCCATATACCCAACAGAATGGACGTTCACCATCATTGCTGTACCTTTTTCCTTTCCCTTTGCCTTTGTCACCCTCCTCTGTCTCGTCACCAGTTCCCTTTTGGGCCTTGTTTAGCCTTGCCCTTTCTTGGCGTCCGAGTCCTGCTTCACCTCTTGATCACCAGCGCTATGCAATAGCAGCTCAAACTCTGCCTGTGACATTTCAGCTAGTTGTGTCGCAGTTTCAGAGGTCGGCGAGTAGTCCACCCCCAATTTCTCCCGAAAGGATGCCACTCTGAAATGAACCGTAGGGTGTTTTGCCGTTTTGCCAGCAACGCGGATGATAAAGCATCCAATCCCTTGATAAGCAGGGTAGCGTCCGGCTCGGTCGCTCGCAACTCCCTTAATCGGGAACGCCATTGCGCCCATTGACGCACTCCCTTTATGGCCTCTGAAATCGAGTTTGCCGAAGATGCTTGCACCAAGAAGTTCAACATTGTGCTGCGCTCGTTTGCTCCACCTGGTTGGTAAACCGTCAGCAATTTGTAAAATATCATCACCGATCCCAACATTCGAGTGGAAACGATCTCAGTCTTTAATCTCTCCGGAATCGCCTGCAGCAGCAGAGACACTGCCCTCTGCTCCAACAAAACGTGCGCAGTTTGAACCACCTTGAGTCCTTCCAGCTCAGCCTTGATGCCCAACCTTTCCAGCGGGGAAACACTCAACCATTTGGCATACGCCTGATACGCCCTTGAATAGACGCATTGCCACCACACCCGTCCTGTATCTGTCAGCGAAGACAACATTGGTTCGATCATTGCGATCCAATCTCCTAGTGCCGTCGGATTGCTTGGCGTATAGTCTGCCAAAGTAGGAAGACTCATCACATGCTTCCCAAGAGCCTCCGGACGTTCGGTTCCAGAACTATCACCAATTATTGCCATACCTCGTGGCACCACTGCTCCAGGAGGTAAACTGACACTACCACCAGGCCTTTGCGGCAGTCCATGTCCCATACCAGGCGTAAGAGCTGTTAGTGGAACCTTTTCTAATTCCAACTTTCCAGCTGTCATTTTCCACCGATACGGAACATTTTCCACCATTGTATATCCACCCGATCCTGCAGCATTCTCTTGTGTCACGGTTTCCCGAGCTGAAATAAAACCGGGCTGATTCACTATAGGTGCGGCAGAACCATCAACACCTGTCGGCAAGGAAGTTATCGGCACCTGTGTCAAACCGGGCGGGCCACCTGCATATGCACCACTTGCAGAACCTCCCAGGGGGTAATTCAGCGGAGGCATTATGGAGGGTTTCAGGTAAATGCATCATTGGCACTTCTCTTTCGGCCTCCACCTTACCATCCCCCGGACTCAGGCAAGGGTTGAAGATCACAACCCTTTGGCAGGTCGTAGCCCTCAATCGGCAGCCATGTCCCATCAGGCGACACAGTCCAAAAACCACCCAAACCATCAGTGTAGAAAACTTGTCCTGGCGGATACTGTTTCTCTGGAGTCATGCCCAAGGGATATGCAGCATTTGCGTCCACCACTCCAGTGCTCCGTGCTCGCGAAGCTGACTCAGATGCAGCAGAGGTATAACTTTTCTCCTCTACTCTATGCAACCTGTTTCCCAGCTCCTTTGTATGCACCAGCAGCTCTTTAAGTGCACGCTTTACCACTGCCATATCTTCACCTTGCTCTTCACCAGTCAGATCAGGAATAAGCTCTTCCTCTGCTTGTGTCTCACCAATGTTACCTCGTTCCATCTGGCCCATTAAGCCTGACGATGGCCTCTCAGATCTGGCAGCGACGGTGGCCTCCTCGTATTTTCACCACTTCTATCCCCTCCGCTCGCAGGAAGACTTGCCGGCCTTGATTGCCTCAGTCTCATTTCTTCATGAGCCCGCTCGCTCCAGAAAGGATTCGCTGCTGGAAACGGAACCGCTTCATTTTCCACCTGAGACGTTTGTTGTATCATTGCAACTTCCCTACCATCTGTCAACGCTTGTACCACTTGCTGTCGTTCTTCACCCCCATCACCACGATTTTCTTCGGCTTCATTGGCCGCGGATGACAGTCCAGGTTCCGACCGACGCCGCAACATGTCCATTGCGCCAAACAAGTGTAGACTCTTACCTACACCGCAGGAAGCCTAATTTGGGCTCATAACCTACGGGGGGCGACCGAAGGGGGACAGGGAACAAAACAGTCAACCCCAACAGAAACCCTTGATTCCCCTGGAACAACCAACAACAAACCAACCCAAAACCCAGAGTTCTTTTTTGCTACAGGGCGCATGGCCCAGGTTCTTGAGCCAAAATGGTTTGCGGGTATTTAACCCTTTCAACCTATACCATGCAACCTCCGCACCCTAAACCCAAATGTAGGGCTTAGGGTTTAGGGTTTAGGGTTTAAGGTGTAGGGTCAAGTAAGGGTTTAGGAAAGTTTAGGGGAGGGTTTGATGTTTAACGCCCAAGGACCTATACGTTGAGGGGTTTAGGCTTGTCTCATGTCGCCTTCCGCTTGCTGGCATCTGAATTCGCAGCCCTGCTTGGAGGTTCATGGGTAGTCATAAGTAGGGTTACACGTACCCTACGTAAGGTTATAAGTATAGTTATCCTTCTCATAACCCTACTTATCACTACCCATGAACCTCCACAGAACCCAAAATCCTAAACCCTGAGCCTGTCACCACCTCCTTCGGCCATTGTTGCGGCGGCGTTCTCAGGTGGATCTTTGCCAGAAGTTCCCGTGTACGGGGTCTTGGCCTCAGGAGACATGAGGGTTTATCCTTAAGAATTCTGCCTTTGAATTTTTTTAGGCATTATGTTTCGATTAGGGTTCCACGGGAAGTATAAAGTACTAAAATCATGTGTCCTTTGATTTGACAGCCTATTTTGCCAGCCAAGGGCCTCATAGTTTTTGGTTTAGGGTCTAGCTTCTTGCGCTTTCTCGTGTGCATTTTGCTTTGCTTGGGGCTTCTGGGGTTCTGCGCCCCCTAGCATGCAAGCGGACACTCTCAGCCCTGCCCTAACCTAGCCCCCCCTTTAACGGGCTTCTATCCACAGTTCGGGTTGAGGGTTTAAGGTTTAGGATTAAGGGTTCAGGCTGCAGGGTTTGAACAAGAAGCCGGCGTGTGCTGCTCTTGCAGTGGGGCATACGCTGTGCAGGTTACATTGCAAGTGTTGCCGGGGGGAGGTGTAAGCCCGACACCTCAGTGAGATAATTAGCAAGAAGCTCTATTGGTCCTAGAGTCCTAAACCTTAAACAAAACCGGCCTACCTGTAGGCGAACTGTACACATCACCTTATCACCTGATGTCGACCGGTCAGGGAGATGTAATCTTGTTTTCAACTACCATCAAGAAGAATTAGGGTGTTTGGGGATAGGGCTTGGCTGTCTACAGTGACTACAGTGCAGGGTTAAGATGGGTTCGGGGTGCAGGGTTTCATTGGTGGCCCACATCAATTTTGCCCGAATTCAAAACAAGCCGCCGATTCTTCGACCAGTTCTCTGAACCTTAAACCCTAAGAAACCCTAAGAAACCCTAAGAAACCCTAAACCCTAAACCCTAAGCCAGGTCTCGGCTGCCCTGCGGAGCGCAGATTCAGGCTAGCACCTTGGGGTTGCTGGGCATTTCTTTGGCTTTAGGGTTTAGGGTTTAGAGTTTAGGGTTTAGAGTTTAGGGTTTAGGCTTTAGGTTTGACTTAGAGCATCATGGGTAGTTAAAGGTGGGGTCATATGTAGGGTAACTATAACTGTTTAACAAGGCTTTACTGCGCTGTTCAGCGCTTGACCTGTTCAAAGAAAGGGAAATCTCAGCAGTGCACAAACAGACCCGACGTGGAAACTCGCCAAGGAAAACGCAACGACAGGAAGCGATTTCATCCAAGAGAATGCGGTGAGAGTGTGAGTGCTCTCAAATGCATGCCGAACCTTGCAACCCTAAACCCCTAAGTCCTAAAGGGCCCAGGAAGCTTTCGGTGTTCAGGATCACCGGCCAACCTTGCCCTGTGGACTTGTGACCATCCTCCTTGCAATTTGTTGAATAATCCTCGGGGCCCCAACCCCTACTATTTGCTTAAACACCCCGGCAAAAAAAACAATCATCCCTATATTGCCCTTATAAGGAAGGATATGTTATATATATATGTATATATATATATATATATATATTTGTTTGTTTTTTTTTGGGGGGTGGGGTTCTTAAGCAAATAGTAGACCCCGAACCACAAAATAGAGCTCCTTAAGCCCCTTAGGCTCCTTGAACTCGTTAGCCCAAAATCCCCAAACTCCTGCAAGCTCCTATGAGGCCTCCTTAAGCTCGTTAGCACCCAAAACCCTAGGGTTTAGGGTTTGGGGTTTAGAGTTTAAGGTTTAGGGTTTAGGGTTTAGAACCCGCCCGGAGGATCAGGCCAGTCGGGGTTGGGCTCACTCAAGAAGACCCCTTAGAGCCCAGGACTTCCCCAGATTTACGCAGCCAATATTTGAACTTTACACGTTTTTGGGGCCTCCTTATTTAGTAGGCAAAATGAAGTGTGGCCTTGAAAACGTAGGTTCCGGGTTTCGGGTTCGGGGTTTGGGGTTTAGGGTTTGGTGTTGGGGGTTTAGGGTTTGGGTCCTAAACCCTAAACCCTAATTAACCCTAAACCGGATGAGGCCTCATATCCGCAGGGCATGGCCTTTCGCAATGCCAGCGAGGCCTCGCGCATTCTGCAAGGCCATATAAAGGCTCATAAGCTCCAGAAACTCTAAACTGCTGGTCGCTTAGGGTTTAGGGTTTCGGGTTTTCTTTGTTGCGGCATTGCCGAATTTAGGGCACTTGAAGGTTCAGGCGGGTTATACGCACCTTGGTCAAGGCCAGAACCACTAAGCACTGTAGCTAGTCTTACTTCTCTCCCAAACCTTAAATCCCTAAACCGTACTTAGACTTGCAACCGTACTTGTATCATGGTTTCAGTCTATTTAAGCTTCATTAAGGTTATTTAAGGGGGAGCCTAGGAGGGTAGTATAGAGGGGGGCAGTCGGGAAACCCATGATTACCCTGAGGGTCCATGTACCTCATTGTTATACACTTGGGCCCCAAAGTCCCTTTTTAGGAAGTACTTTAAGGCCCAAGTGTTTCCTATTGAGGTACATGGACCCTTAGGGTTATACTTCCCCCATGACCCTTCAAGTAGGCGCCTCGGGTCAGCACCTCCCCGCTCCTGCCCGCTCCCTCTTGGCATCGACAGGACAAAATCTCTAGGCGTTGGACTCTCCCCTAAACCCTAAACGATATTCCCCTAAAGAAGCATTCCACAAGCTCTAACGCCCCCCAAGGTGTCCAGAATCGAAGGCTAAATGCCAAAAAGTCCCGCATCGAACCCCGAAACCCCGAAATGATAACCCTAAGCCTACAAAGTCGTGGCATCAAAAACCCAACGGCCTGAGTATCCGGAAAGCCTTAAACCCAAAACCCTCAACCCAGGCCTGAAACCCTCCCCGACAACCTAAACCCTAAGCCCTGAAGCCTAAACCCTAAGCCCTAAGCCCTAAGCCCTAAGCCCTAAGCCCTAAACCCTAAACCCTTAACCCAAGCCCAAGCATCCCTAAACCCTAGACCCGAAACCCCACCCCCCAAGCCGTAAGCTGTTGAGGTCAAGAGCCGGGCAGGGACGGGCCAGGCGTTCACCAGGACTTGTGTTGGGCCCTTACGGCGAGGTTTAGGGTTTAGGGTCTAGGGTTTAGGGTTTAGGGTTTAGGGGTACATCTTTGTCCGAGTTCCAAGTACAGGTGAGCCTAGGGTGAGGTGTCAGGGTGTAAGGATGTCGGGCATGGTGTGTCCAGGTCCGGTCTGAGTTTTTGTTGGTTCGAATTTCATTTTTCGAGCTTCTAAGAAACTAAAGAAAGTCAATGTAGAAAGAATACCAGTCATGTTTCAACAGCAGAACCTTTTTTTGAAATCGAAGCACATGATGGATTAGATGAGACATCCAAAAAGCACGCTTACAACAATAACAATGTTTTGAAGCCAATATATATATATATATGTGTTGCAACTTCCGATTTTCCCGATACTCCAAAAGAATACGAGGTTTGCCAGCTGGAGGTCTAGGGGAGGATCGAATGTATGGTGTCAGGTCTGACGTTGTCCTAAACCCTAAACCCTAAACCCTTAGGGTTTAGGGCAGCCCGAATAGGACGCGCCATGCCCTGGGTTGCTGGGCTTAGGGTTTATAGGGTTTAGGGCTGCAGTAGACCCCAAAAAGTTGGAAATCTTTTTACGGACAAATAGTGGCTGGGATTCCCTATAATTGCTTTAAACTCTTCGGGATTGAGGCTAGTGAGTTTCCAACTTTTTCGGCTTCTACTATACAATGTTTAGGGTTGCTCTGGCTTGGAGAGCGGCTTACTGTTATTTTCGGGTTGGACTTTATTTCATATTTTTGATAGATTCCGTTTTTTGTTCCTATTCTTCATGTTTTACAAGATGATTCCTAAACTTGACCCCCTCACTCCAAAACTTCAAGCCCTAAACTCTAAATGTGGAATGTGGGGACACATTGTGCCAAAGATTCGTGCATGAGAATTGGGATGCTCCCCCTTATACTAACAGTACTGAAAAGGGATTATAACAGGGCGGTACTATAATCCCTATTAAGGACTGTTAGTATGAGGGGGAACATCCCAAAATAGTGTATGATAAGGTCATTGTTCTCTAGCTTTCCAGGGGCCTTGTCCGCGCTGAGGCACCGCCGAGGCTGGTGGAGACGTTCGCCGAGACGCTTATTGCAGGCAAGGGCAACGGCCTTCATTGCCCTAAACCCTAAACCCTAAACCCTAAACCCTAAACCCTGGACTGTGCCTAGGGAAGTTCCCATGCGTTTAGTTCCTACATGGCCATGACATGGCCATGTTTGCAAGTTGCGGTACCTAGTCATGTCTCCGGCGATTAAGTGCGACCCACAACCTTGAAGATTGCTGCTGTAGTCTACAGGGCTGAGGGCCCGAGGGCTCATGGGATTTAGGATTTAGGGTTTAGGGTTTAGGGTTTAGGGCCACAGCTAAAGTGATGAGATCTCGTAATTTGGCCGGAGCTGGTATGACCCGTACCCAAACTGTCGGCAAATTCTTCTAGCGGCCCCCTAGCTAGAGGTGCAGGAACCCTAAACCCTAAACCATGAATCCGTAAAACCTAAAACTGTTTCTTGCACAATTTCGGCTGGAAGTCCTGTAACCCTAAGCCTCCTGTATTTGTAGTTAGAAATGGCAAGGGGCCCCCTCCTCGTAAGGCACTTGCAACCCAGCTGTAGGTTAGATGTCCCTGATCTGTCTGTGTGGTAAGGCCGGCCCTTCTTTGTAGGGTCTCAGGTGGGGCCCTAAACCCTAAACCCTAAACCCTAAACCCTAAACCCTAAACCCTAAACCCTAAACCGCCCCTCCGATGCCGTCGTCAGGCGACCAGGTGCAGATCAAATGGAGCCAGCCAGTGCGCTTTGCACCGAGAGGCACGGGCCGCTGGGTTGAGGGTTTAGGGTTTAGGGTTGGGGTTTACCCCATCAGTGTTAGGGATCCTTTTTACTTTTTGGGTTATGGGCTTTCTTATATATGAACAAAAAGGATCCTTTTTTCTTCCTAGGGGAACAGGGATTAAGTTTAGGGTGTAAGTGTTTAGTGGTTAGGGGCTTTAGGGTTTAGGGGCTTTGGGGCTATGGGGGCAAATTGGGTTTTGAGTTCAGGTTTGCGGTCTCTGGTCTGCGGTAAGGGGCGCCTCTACCCTTCATATGAACCCATCATCCCATCCTCTCGATCTCCCTGCTAAAAGCAATAATATATGAAATACATAGTGTGTGCATGATTATATATATATATATATAGAGCATGTATCATTTAAACACATAAATCTAGTCTTAAGATGAACCCCGTAATCGCGAAACGTGTGCAAACATGCTTAGGTTACAAGATCCGAACAGCACAGGGCCATTAGATGTTACACTCGGAAGCCCTGAAGCCTAAACCCGAAGCCCTGAACCCTGAACCCTAAACCCTAAGAGCCCTTAGAGGTATGCAATGCGGCCAGGCCGGTCCAAGCAGCATCGCTTCAGTCTCTGCCACGCCGCTACGCCCGGGGGCTGCAGAAATGGGATGACACTGACTGCGGGGGGGGGGGGGGGGGGGGGGAATTTCAACACGGGCCTCTATTGAAGTAGATTCCCTCTCTAGTTTACCCTCTAGTTTATAGGGTGCCAAAACAGCCCCTAAACCCTAGACTCTGCCTTAATTTCTTCTGCTGCAAGAAATGACAGGGTAGTTCTATGGTTCCTTAGTGTGGTCCCTTGCCTTCTTTAAATGGGTTCTGATGTATGAGCCCTTGGGTTCTATCGGGTATACTAGGGGTACATGAGGGGTCCCCATTTCAGGGCCCTATGTAGCGACCCTTAAAAGAAAGGATTCTGGGGTCAGTTTCGGGCTTCAGACCGTGCAGGGATGTCGCGTAGTTTAGGGTTTAGGGTCTTATAGGGTTTAGGGTTTAGGGTTGAAAATGCCGTTCTGTTTGCCACAGCCTGCCTTCGCAACGAGCCCCTTGTCTACGACAAGGTCTCCATACAAATGAAACAAAAAGCACGACTCCCAGGCTGCTCATGGTACACCCGAGTAGTACCTTTTCATCATATGGGGGGTTTCCGAACTTAAAGGACATCCTACTATTTGGGGGTCCCCTATTTTCGTAAACTCCCATGTCAGAAGGCTTAGGCTTGTTGTGCACCCTTGGGGAAGCTTGACATGAGCTGGACCGGTGAGGCAAGAATTGGCCTGCCCCATCGAGAACCAGGCGGGCTCAATAAGCTCTAAGAATAATGGGGTATACGGGCCATAGTTGATTTCAAGAAGAGTATGAGTTGGGATGTTCCACCTTTATGCTAACAGTCCTCAATACGGATTATAATCGGGGGCACTATAATCCCGGTCAAGGACTGTTAGCATCAGGGGGAACATCGCAAAGTATGAGGCTAGTGCCAGTGCCTTCATAAAGGCGAGTATAGGGCCCATGAAGAGCAGGTTCGGGGTAGAAGCATGAACACCATGCCCTACCTGGAGTGATCCTTGACCTTGACAGAAGGGCATATAGACCCTAGACCCTAGACCCTAAACCCTAAACCCTAAACCCTCAACCCTCAACCCTCAACCCTCAACCCTCAACCCTAAACCCTAAACCCTAAACCCTAAACCCTACCCCACCCTGGAGCCCTGGATGCTACTGAGGTTGTCGGGCTTTGGGTGTTTAGGGTTTAGGGTTAAGGGCACAGACATTCCGGTAAGGCAAGGGCAAAAAAAGGTCGACGTTTTGAGGCTGACAAGGTTTGTAGAGGTTATTCGGTTTCTATAGGGTTGTTTACGGCTCATGGGGGTTGGAGGGTGTTTAGCATGTATGGGTTACGTTTTAGTTTTAAGGCATTACCAATAAGGTTATGACAACGGTAACCCCTTATCCCAGATGATAAGCCTGGATCTAAACACCTATGAACGTCCGAGTAGTCTACAGTCTAGGGATTTCTTGGGCTCAGGGTTTAGGGTCGATGCGAAGAGTTCTGAAGAAGAAGGGCGGCCACGGCAGCTTCTGTCGCAGGTCTTCGACGACGAGTCGAAGGCGCGCGGGGTAGGGGTTTAGGGTTTAGGGTTAAGGGTTTAGGATTTAGGGTTTAGGGTTTGTTTTAGGGCTTAGGGCTTAGGGTTTAGGGTGTGGGGTTTATAGGGTTCAGGGTTTAGGGTTTAGGATTTTCAGGCCGGAGCCGCAGCAGTCCTGGGTTCAAAGAAAGGGGTTAGGGTGAGGGTTCAGCGTTTAGGTTTAGGGTTTAGGGTTTAGGGTTTAGGGTTTAGGGTTTAGGGTTTAGGGTTTAGGGTTTAGGGTTTAGGGTTTAGGGTGTTTAAGGTCATCTCAGCCCCAAGCATGAAGCAGCTTTAGGTTCAAAGGAGGCTAGCATGCCTGGTACTGTTGGTGACGGTTCTCCACCTGGTCGGAGAATGAATGGAAGCAAAAGACGCTAAAAAAAGAAGTCCTTATACATTATCAGACATGGTTTTTTTTTCGAAATTAGGGGGTACCTTATTGGGGTCCTTATTAGAAGGGGTCCTACTATTTGGGGTAGATGTTGGGTCCCTTCTTTTCGTAAACCCCCACATGTATGTGTGTACATGTGTCTGCATCTTGCATCTCAAAGGGTTCTAGCCGTCCTTTTCGCAGGTGTTTCCTTGTACCGGTCCTGGCGGCGACTGCGCGACCCGGCTGCTGTTATAAGGGCTATGAGCTGTATTAGGATTTAGGGTTTAGGGTTTAGGGTCTAGGGTTTAGTTAGGGAACGTGGATCCAGGAGGAGAGGCCAATTAGCTTCGCACCTGGCAGGCCTTAGAACCCTGTAGAGTTGCGCGTGTCCTAGAGGCTTTTGCCAAGGGTAGCTTCCAGTTACCCTATTTTGAACCCCAGTTCTACTTGGAGGTTCATGGTACTTATTAACCCACCTGCAGGTATATTTGTACTTATAGCCATATTTGGGCACTTAAGGGGTTTATAAGTGGGTTATAAGTACAGTTATTATGGGTTAATAAGTACCCTTGAACCTCCAAGTAGCTGCCCAGGAACCTCCAAGTACACTCGACATCTCGACACCCTGATCGACCCCGAGCTCCAGGGATTAGGGTTTAGGGTTTAGGGTTCAGGGTTTAGGGTTTAGGGTTGAGGGTTCGTTGACACTGTGAGTTTTGTGGGAGCTCTCAGAAGGGCCGATTGGGGGTGGGGTTGGGGGGTATCTTGAAGAATAAGACCCTAAAAGTTGAGGGTTTAGGACTTTGGGTAAAAGCTAAAGATCAAGGCTTCTTTACCCCAAGCTTCCCTGTATGCCTGAGCTTGGCAAATTTTCGAAGCCCTGAGTCTAAGCTCCCCAACACACCCGGCCCTAAACCCTAAACCTAAACCCTCGCCCTCGAAACCCTCAAACCCTGCACTCAAACTCCAGAAGCAAACTCAACAATCGAGACCATCGGAACCCCTAAAACTTACAAACCGCATGGAGCCCATGCCCCCCCTCCCCCCCCCTTCCCTACTAAACCCTAAAACCCTAAACCCTACTTATACCCATGAGCCTTCAAGTAGAGCCCTAAACCCTAAACCCTAAACCCTATACCCTATACCCTATACCCTATACCCTATACCCTATACCCTATACCCTATACCCTAAACCCTAAACCCTAAACCCTAAACCCTAAACCCTAAACCCTAAACCCTAAACCCTAAACCCTAAACCCTAAACCCTAAACCCTAAACCCTAAACCCTAAACCCTGACCCGGGCTCAGGCCATCTGGTCCGTCAAGGCCCGGGCCCCCCATGTCAAGGCTTAAAGCGCACGACTTGTGGGTTTCGAAACAGTGGGTTTCGCGTTTATATAGGGTTTGGGTAGGGTTTAGGGTTTAGGGTTTAGGGTTTAGGGTTTAGGGTTTAGGGTTTAGGGTTTAGGGTTTATATAGGTTTTTTTAATAGGGTTTTATATAGGGTTAGGGTTTTACATAGGTTTTATATAGGGTTTCTATTGGGTTATATATGTGTAGGGTTGAGAAGGTTTAGGGTTTAGTGTTGAGGGTCTAGGTTTTACAGGGCTTGCATTGGGTCATGTATCGTGGTATGGTGTGTTAGTGGCATATGGGATTTCATGGTGGTCTGCACAAGACGCATGTTGGGCTCCTATAGAAGAAGGATTATAGTGCTTCGAGATGCGTCGGAGGCCTTATGGTTGGATTAACCCATATGGTCACTTCGCTACATTCGAGGGGCTTACGCCAACTAGACTGCCTGCAGCAATTCAATTCGGGCCTTCTTTTTAAAATCTCTTGGAGGTCATGGGTAGTTGTAAGTAGGGCTATAAGTAAAGTAACTGTCATTAAAGGTGGTTATAGCCTTCTTTGGGGTACTTGTAACCTTTCTTATAACTACCCATGAACCTTCAAGTACCTGAGCTAGACGACCCTGCAGTTAGCGTAGCGTGTGGAACACGCAGGGTCGAAGTATGTGGATTGCAGGCGCTCGTAGGATGTAGTTGAGTTTCAGGGCACCAGTGTTCAGGGTGGGACGTTACAGGTCAGGAGCTCATTGTCACCAAGTGAGGAGCATTCAGAGACAAGGCGGCTTGATGCTAGCTGTTTGAAAAGGGGGGTTCATAAGCTTGAAGAGATCCCCAGAAGTATTGTTCCCGGAGCCCTGAAAAAATACCCTAAAACACCTTAAAGTACCCCAAAATACAACCACAAGGGCCTAGAATAGAATAATATTGTTCATGGCTACAGTCCAGGGAACTGCTGCCTTGGACACCCAATAGACCCCAAGCCGTCCATGCCCTCAAAGCTCGAAGCGAAAGTAAACCCTGAAAACAAAAAGAAATTCCTAAAAAGCCTTTAAACTACACCCCCCCCCCCCAAAAAAAAAAAAAATCCTTTCAGATGACCCCAGGAGACCCTTCAAAGACCCCCCAAAAAAAAGACTCTAAAGAAGAGCAACACAGAAGACCCTACAGTAAACTCTATAGAGTTGGAACATGGTTTAAGGACGATTAGGGCCGGGATTCCGCGATTCTGCTTGGTAACCCTCTTGAGGCATGAGCTACTGAGCCCTAGCTGAGGTGGATCCGGCGAAGCTGCCAAGCTGCGGAGGCCGTAAGGGTTCAGGGCTTTGGATTCCAAGAGATCCCCTATATCTCCTGTATAGTTGTAAGAAAATAAAGGTTCTAGGGTTGTAAGAAAACAATGGTTTTAGGGTTTAGGGTTTAGGGTATAAACAGTGGTGTTAGGGGTTTAGGTTTTAGGTTTAGGGTATAAACAATGGTTTTAGAGTCTAGGTTTTTAGGGTTTTAGGTTTAGGGTTTAGAATTTAGGGTGTAGGGCTACCTAAAGCATCTTTTCTAGGTAGGCAGGCCTGCCATATCCAGGGAGTTGAGGAAGACAGGACTGCCCGTACTTGACTTTTTGGTGTCAGGATCCCTCATCAAACCGGAACCTCCCTAAAATGGAGGGTTTAGGGTTTTAGGGTCTAGGGTTTAAAGTGATTTTACAAGTAGGGCAGCTATGACTATGTTCAGTTATAACCTTATTCACAATTATTTATAGCCCTATGCATGGCTACCATCCAAACCATCAGGCCTAAATCCTACACCCGCTGAGCCTTGCAGTGTGGGTTCCTATGTTCCGAGTTCCCTGCTGGGCATCAGTATGTACTTCGGGGTGATCTCAACTTGGTGGTTGCCTTACTTCTAACCGTACTTGTAACCCTAATCACCATGGGCAAAAAAAACCTACACCCCAAACCCTATGGGCAACAACAAGCCAAACCCTAGACCCTAAACCCGAAACCCTGTCCCTGCCGTGCTTTGGCTTGGCGCGTGGCCAAAAGACCCTGAAGCCCTAAACCCAAAACCCTAGACCCTGTCTGCAGACAAAAACCCAAACCCCTTGGCCCTAAACCCCAAACCCCAAACCCCAAACCCTAAACCCTAAACCTGAGGCTTCATTGTGACCGTCGATGCTGGGGCCGTGGAGTCCGAGGAGGGGACCGGCACCAACGAGCCTGGGGCTTGGGTTTAGGGTGTAGGGTTTAGGGTTTAGGGTTAGGGTTTAGGGTTTAGGGTTTCGGGTTTAGGTTTTAGGGGGCCAACACACCAAGACAGGCTTCAAAGCAAGCTGTAGCAAGGCACCGCAGAAAGAGATGTGAAACTTGTTTAGACCCTTAGCAAAAGTTCAAAGCTCTCTTGCCCAGTGGGTTTGAAGCTTGGGGGCTTGGAGGGCTTGGGGCTTCGCGCCCGGAGTTGCGCAGGTTCCGCAACCTTTCACAACCCTTAGCCACAAACCTCCCGGACCTGAACAAACCACTAAACTAAGCCAGCTAACCTCTTTTGCTGAGGGTTGTTACTACTCTTTTCTTAAGAACCTCAAAAGAATACAGCATAACAACCCCTGTATTACCCATATAAGGAAGATTAATTCCTTTTTTTGGGGAGGTTCTTAAGCAACTTGTAGTTTAAGCTGTGCTGTTTGGGGCTCGGAGTCCCAACCAACCGGGCCATCAGCTTAAACAGGGAGGGCTTAGGACTACGTGGTTCAAGTTGAGAAGAATCTGGGTTGTGCTTGGGCATATTCTTTTTTTTAGTTCCCCTCTTTCCTTCTTAAGGGAACCTATTCACATATAATTTTCAAAGGCTTTAAAGCACAGCTCAAAGGAGTTTTTTTGTCAGTTTTGGTCTTCTTGCTTGGCTTTGAGGCTTTGTTGGCTTAGGGAAACGACTTTGAGCTGCAACAGCTTTAGGGTTTAGGGTTTAGGGTTTAGGGGTTTAGGGTTTAGGGTTTAGGGTTTAGGGTTCCTACACAAACTGGTCGAAACCCTGCACCTCGAAGAAATCCCTCCGCGGCCCAACCAACAAACCCTGGCACGAAAACGCACGGTTCATTTTTTCTGTTTTGCCTCAGAGGCACTCGTTTTGCGCTCATAGATTTCCGACACGTGAGAGCAAGTGAGAGAGAGAGAGAGAGAGCTTGTATTTTGGGGTTTGAGGACTACTTTGGAGGTTCATGGGTAGTTTTAATTCGGGTTGTAAGTCGGGTAACTACATTTATACCCTTACTTAAGGCATTAAGAACCCTGCCTATTCGCTACCCATGAACCTCCCAGCAGGGCTTGTAGGGTTTTGGGCTTCGGGGCTTCGAGCTTTAAGGGCCTTGTGGAGTCAATCAGAAAAGGTTCGAGAAACCCAACAGCACAGAGTGCTTGCAGAAACCCTGAACCCACTCCCGCATCCGCATGCCTGAGTAGATTTTCTGCGGCACTCGGGAATTTCTCGATCCCGTGACCCTAAACCCTAAACCCTTAACCCTTAACCCTTATAAACCCTAAACCCTACTGTAAACCCTAAACCCTAAACCCTATTCAACCCCACACCCCAGACCTGCTCAGGTACACCCAAGGGAAGATCCAGTCGAAGCTCCGCTGCCATGGCCCCAGGCTGCCAGAAAAAACCTGGGTTTAGGGTTTAGGGTTTAGGGTGTAGGGTGTAGGTTTTAGGGTTTAGGGTTTAGGGTTTAGGCAAGGACGAGGGTGTATGTATTGACATGGGTTGGCGGCCCCTTACGTAGGGTTTCTGTTTTATGGGGTTCTGATTGGCTTCGAAAGGGGTTCTACGAAGGTAGAAGGGCAACAGATAAAGAGGCCTTTCTAACGTGTACATGGTCAGGTTGCTTGATGATGGCTTCTGTTTGTGGTCAATGTGTGGGTCACTTTTCGACCGCGGCCTGTGCATTTACAAGCAGGTATGTCATGTCAAACACCCTCACAAAGCTTAAGCCATCTCCTACAAGGCTTCCGGGTCGCCTTTTCTTTTCTTTTTCCCGAAAGCATCGCGAAGGGTTCTTCCGTGCGGAGCCCTCTGACCCAACAACATAGAGTGAAGTACATAGAGTCAAGTGCATAGAGTTAAGTGCATAGAGTGAAGTGCATAGAGTGAAGCGCGTAGAGTGAAGTGCATAGAGGGAAGTGCAGTAGTGTGAAGTGCATAGAGTCAAGTGCATAGAGTAGTGCATAGAGTCAAGTGCATAGAGTGAAGTGCATAGAGTCAAGTGCATAGAGTCAAGTGCATAGAGTGAAGTGCATAGAGTGAAGTGCATAGAGTGAAGTGCATAGAGTGAATTGCATAGAGTGAATTGCATAGAGTGAAGTGCATAGAGTGAATTGCATAGAGTGAAGTTGAAGTGAATAGAAAGTGCGAGATTTACGTAGAATTTAGTAGACCTTCGTACCCAGTCCTAGATTTCTAAATTAAAATTACTCTTTCTAATTAAAATTACTCTTTCTAAGGCGGCGGGCTGGGTTGACATCGCCAATCGGGATTGCAACCCTCTGCGTGTTTCGGCGTGGTCGCGGTGCTAAAACCGTCGTTTTTTTTTACGTTTCTTGATTTGCGCGGACAACCCTCTGCGGGTTTCGGCGTGGTCGCGGTGCTAAAACCGTCGTTGTTTTACGTTTCTTTCTGCGCGCGGACAACCCTCTGCGGGTTTCATCGTGGTCGCGGTGCTAAAACCGTCGTTTTTTTACGTTTCTTGATTTGCGCGGACAACCCTCTGCGGCTGATCGCCGGGTCGCAGTGCTAAAACCGTCGTGTTTGGTACTTTTTTTCGCGCGCGCGGACACCCTCTGCGGGTTTCGGCGTTGGCGCGGTGCCAAAACCGTCGTGTTTTTGCGTTTCCTGACATACAAACGTAACCCCTCTGCGGGTTTCGGCGTTGGCGCGGTGCCAAAACCGTCGTGTTTTTGCGTTTCTTGACATGCAAACGTAACCCCTCTGCGGGTTTTCGCGTGGTCGCGGTGCTAAAACCGTAGTGTTGTTGCGTGTTTTTTTCGACTTGTGTAGTACAGACGTAGTACGCCGGGGACTTCCGTGGCTGGAAAATCGAGTTTTGTCGTACAAATGTAGTACGCCACGGACGCCCCCGGAGCTTCCGTGGCTGGAAAGTCGATTTTTGTAGTACAGACGTAGTACGCCGCGGACACCCGGAGCTTCCGTGGCTGGAAAGTCGACTTTTGTAGTACAGACGTAGTACGCCGGACTTCCGCGCGCGTGAAGACACGGGGATGTTTTTGTCCTTTCTCGTTGAAAACCTCGCAAATATCGTGGGACTCGAATTCCGGGAAAACCTCGCAAATATCGTGGGACTCGAATTCCGGGATGTCGAAACCCTCGCAAGTATCGTGGGACTCGAATGCCGGGATGTCGAAACCATCGCAAATATCGTGGGACTCGAATTCCTCGAAAACCTCGCAAATATCGTGGCACACGAATTCCGGGATGTCGAAACCCTCGCAAATATCGTGGGACTCGAATTCCGGGGCATCGAAAACCTCGCAAATATCGTGGGACTTGAATTCCGGTGCGTCCAAAACCTCACAAGAGAACCTCGCAAATATCGTGGGACTCGAATTCCGGGATGTCGCAACCCGGGGCGTCGAAAACCTGGGAAATTTCGTGGGACTGGAATGTGAATGCCATGCAGCGGACCGGGAAAAAAGTGATCTCGTTTTGGAGGGAAGGCGCGTGCCGCGACCAGCCACTGGAGCTCGGCGTTGTCTTCAATGCCGATGAAAAGTGTACAGAGTTGACCACAAGTGCATGGCATTCAACTCCACACACTTGAATGCCATGCAGTTCCATACACGTCCACTGGACAAGTGCAGTGTACAAGTTGACTATGCAACCATGTAAGTGCATACATTTGTCCAAGTGCATGCAGTTCGAGTGCAAAGAATCAACTGCATGGAGTAACGCACGGCAAATCGATGCTTTCGGGCCATCCCTCTTCTAGTTTGGGCTCCCGGAGTGCTTTGGCAAAGTTCTAGATACATATATATATATATATATATTTCTTTCATACACATACTTATTTGTTTCTATATATATACATATATATATATATATATATATACAGGATCGTTTTTACTCCCTGAACGCGGGGTATTGGATTGCCTGTGGGGTTGAGGTTTAATCCGTTCCCCCTAATATTAAAGGCCCCCCCCCCCTCCCTTGTATAAAAACCCCCAAAGGGTTTTTTGTATTTGGGGGGGTTCTTATCGTTTGTCCGAAAAACCAGCCCGTCCTTATTGCAGCACGCTGGCTCAGCAGCCCAGCCTAAGCCTAGACAGCTACGTTTGGAAAAGGTTCATGTTTCTGCTTCCGGCTTCCAACCCTCCCCCCCCCTAACTCCCCCCTCTCTCTGTAGAGATTTTAATAGGGACAGGCGCGGGATCGGGATTTTGGGCCAGGGGGTTCTTTATATTAGGGGGGTATGAATATTAGGGGGAACGGATTAAGAAGGTTCTTTGGCGCTGATTTTTTTTGGGTTTGGGTGCGAGAGTCTGGGAAAAGGGGGGGGCCGGACTCAGCTGCTTTCGACTTCAGGACGTTAAGTTTGGGGGGTCGGATGGAACCATGATGGACTATGAACCCTCACTTAGTAGCTGAGTGAGCACACTTGCTTTTTTTGGGATGCTATAATCCCCTGTAGAACTGAAAGTGTACACTTTTGTGGGGCTTCTGAACTCAGAAACTAAGCTCAACACCAAGACCCTGTTGATGGGACCGGCAGGGGCAGTGATCCCCATTTTCCGGACCCTAATCCCGACCAACTGCCTAACCTTACGAGCTTAAGCACTTAAACCGCTCAACCCTAAACCCTAAACCCTAAACCCTAAGGACCCTCAACGTCCCCAAGACCCTAAACATTCCCAAGCCCTCAACTCCCTCCTGACTTTAAGAGACCCCCAACCCCCCCTAAGACCATACGACCCAAAGCTCCAGACCCTGAACTTCCTACCCCTAGTACGACCCAAAGCTCCCTCAGGTCCTCTTACCAAGACCCTACTTGAAGATTCAGGGTACATAAAACCCAGTTCTAACATATTCTAGCTATACTTATAACGCCCCCCCCCCCCAAAAAAAAAAAGCCCTCGAAGTAGGGAAGACGCAGACTTATCATCCCGGTGAGAAGAATCCTGGAGCCTCCAAGTAAGTCTGCGAAACTGTCTCGGACCCTATGAGACCCTAAGCTCCCTAAACACTAAACCCTAGACAAAACCCTAAACCCTAATCCCATGAGACCCTAGAAGTCTGCGAAAAGCACCGAGGCCCGAGGTGGAACGAAGGCAACGCGCAAGAAGCTGAGCCTCTGACCTTCCGAGCAAAGCTGCGGTGTCGCTTTTTTTGTGTCTGTAGGGTTTAGGGTTTTGGGTTAGGGTTGTAGGGGGTTCTCTACAGGGGGTTCATAGGGACCCCACAACCCTACGACATGTTTCTATGGGGTTCCAAAAGGTTTATGGGTTGTTTATGGGGCTTATACGGCCTTGTAGCGTTTCCGCTTTGTAGTATTCACCCAGAATAACGTTAAGAAATAGCTGTCATCACAGATATACATGTCTTTTGAATGTTCGGCCTAGGGTTTAGGCGCTTTGGCTTGGTGAGTTTAAGGCTAGGATCCGGAGTAGGCCCTGGTTTCTTTTGTTTTTAGGGCCCTAAAACCTACACCCTAAACCCTAAAGGGGTTCCCTTAGAAATCCCTGCACACCAAACAGGGCACCCTTTTGATTCCTAGTTTGCTCCTGGGTCTAGAAGACATGTTATGTTTAGTTAGTTCCCCAATGGGGTTGCGATGTGAAAAAGTATCCTCGCCCCGGCCTCCCTAAAACCCTAAACCCTTTAAACCTTGAACCTTAAACCCTAAACCCTAAATCCTAAACCCTAAACCCTAAAACCCTAGCCCTGATCCCTAAGCTCCGGGCCCAGGTGCAGCCTCGTGAATTCCGACGGGCTGAGGTGCGTAACTCTTCAATGGCAAATGGGTTGAGGGCTTCGGGACATTCGGGGGGAAGACTCCCAGGGTTTAGGGTTTAAGGTTTAGTGTTTGAGAAAGGATGGCTGTGCGTGCGTGTTTTTCTCCTGGTTTTGGCTCGGCTGCGTGTTTGTCTCTGTGTTCGTTTTGTTGTGGCTACCTGTTGTTGTCTGCTCTGTGTGCGTGTGCTTGCTTTTTTCGTACTACATATCTATGTCAGCTTGGTTGTTTTGGTTTCTTGTTAGTGGTCCTCATGGCAGGCCTTTCTAAATCGTCAATCTGTCTCTGTGCGTGTGTGACGCCTTGGGAAGCCAAGCCAAGATGAAAACACGATGCTGCAAACACGTCCTGTGTTGATAAACAGGCTGGGTGTTTATCAACAGGTCGGTTGTTTGTAAACAGGCTGGGTGTTTATAAACATATCAATCTTTGGGCGGGGTTGCACGTCCCGTGTTTTTCAACGGCTGGGTGTTTATCAACATATCAATGTTGGGCAGGGTTTGGGGGGGCGGGGGGCGAGGGGGGGGGGGGGGGGGGGGGGGGGGGGGCGGCGGTAGGGGTGCCATGAAGCGCACCGCCCAAGTTTCCGGCACCATCGAGATCGACAACGCAGTTTGCCGGTTAGAGCTCACGAACATCCATGTCGTTCAAACCCCCATGCCATCCGCGGGGTCCTCGTCGACATCACCTGGTACCACATCACCCCGTATCGATGAGCTCCTCACCCAGATCGTCGATGATGTTGTCCCCACACACCACTCCAGGAAAGACCTGACTTCTCGACAAATCCAGGTACACATGTGTCACATCCAGCGGAAGTACGGCTTGAACACTGGAGTCCAAGGTGGTTGGAACACAATGGCGGACGAAGCCGGAAAGGCGTCAAAAACAAGCTCTTGGCAACTGGCGATGGCAACCCCAGCAATGAGGATGAGGACGCAAACAGCGCCAATCCCAAGAACCCCAAGGCTGAGAGCGATAAGCGACCCAGCACTTTGTCATCTGCGACACTACTTACTACTTCGCCATCTACAACTTCAGGCGTCTATGTGTACTCTGAGAAGACGTGTCCTGTGTGATCCAAGGCACTCTACACGATGAAGGGAGATAAGGAGGTCGTCAGAGGAATTTTGGTCGGGAGCGAATCTATCGTTCCTATCCGAACCCAGCGAAAGGTCTGCTGCAGTTGTCGCAAGTCCATTCGCCCGAACATGGTATGGAGAGTTCAACTACGACCGCCCGTCCAAATACTCCGAGAAGATCGGCTCCGATGGCTCCATGCTCTTCAAAATCCCGGAACAGGTTAAAGTAATTTCCTTTGACGGTCACTTCGGCGTCCACAGCAAGCTTGTAGACAAGGTCGACGGCCCCCGCGCTGCACCCGTGTCGGGACATCCGAAAAAGCTTCGTGAACATGAGAGGACGGCTTCATGTGCTCGGAAGGACTCCTTGCACTATGCACTACCACAAAGGACTGCTGGGTGGCAATTTGCTCTGGACCCCGAGTCACGCAAGGTGTTAGGGGCGAAGGAGCATATCTCCAATGAGGGTCATGCTGACAAGGCAAAACTCTTGCAGGATGTTATGACGATGAGCAATGTGAAGCCAGACGTCCTCATACACGACGATGTGTGTCACTTTGAGAAGTTCGTCAAGAAGCGGAATCACGAAGACTTCATGGGCATCAAGTACTGGCTCGTCGATCTCTTCCACCTCTGCAATAAGAAGGAATGGCGTCATTGTGAGCACAAACGTTGCAAGCACATTAGAACCAATATGTCGGAGTCCTTCAATGCATGGATTCGTCCACTTAATTTCTTTCTGAACTCGTTGAATGCCCACAGTCACAGGTTCTGGGTTCGAGAGGCATGTCTCTTTTACAATATTCACTTACCGGCCATGAGTGCTCTCTTCACCAGGCGATCTAACGCTGTTTCTCGGAGTACAGTCAGAGGGAAGAGCCGGAAATTTTTGAAACGTCCATCGGTCCAGAAGCGGCCGGCAGCCATGAAAACATTTGTCCGAAAGCGGCCGGCAAGTCGTAGGTGAAGCCCATATGCTTATCGTCAGAATCAACGCTCTGAATCTGCCGAAGCATGCAAGTACCACATACACCACATACATGACTCACACAAAGCACACCAACAGACACACACACGCACAACCATCCCCTGCCTAGGGTTTAGGGTTTAGGGTTTTGGGTTTAGGGCTACTTGGAGGTTCATGGGTAGTTATAGGTTGGGGTTATAAGTAGAGCAACTATACTTCCCACCTTACTTAGGGAACTTTCAACCCTGCTTCTAACTACCCATGAACCGTCAAGTACACAGCTTAACAAGGGCTTAGGAATTCAGGGCTCAAGGCCTGTGCGCACCTGGTTGGCGACCCAGTAAGTAAGTATGGCAGCGGGTCTTGTTGAAGTGAGTTTGTTGAAGCTTTGTTGGAGGGGGAGTAGGCTTTGGAGTCCCGATCGGGGTTTAGGTCATTTAGGTGTTGCTTGGGCATGGCTTTTCGGGTTTGGGGTTTAGGGTCTTGTGCACTAATTCCAAATTCTGCGATACAGGGGTCGATTTGCGGAGGCAGGCTGCAGAATGTGCTCGTGCCTGTGAGAACGCAGCTGCGAATGTCGCAGCCACACTAGCCAGAACTAGGGGTTTAAGGTTTGGGTTTAGGCTTTAGGTTTTAGGCTTTAGGCTTCAGGCTTTAGGGTTAAGGCTTTAGGGTTTAGGGTTTAGGGCTTAGGCTAGGGCGTGCTATGATTTGCTACTCTCCTTGGGGCCTTATCCTTGTTAACTCTTGACATTCTCCATCTTTGCCGTCGGTGGCTCGCGATTTGCCAGGCTCAACCCAAACTTCAAGACCAGGCCCCAAGACTCCCAAAAGGGTTTAGGGTTTAGGGTTTAGGGGTACTTATCTTTATACTGCGAGAAGAATAAGCAGTTTGATCGCGTTATCATCAGAATAACATGATATTACAATTCAAAAATAGAATGTTTATAAGAGTCGAAGAATATAATGAATATAGTAGTATAACCAAATCCTAGTATACTAATCTGACAATATCGAATATATCGTAGCAAGGCTGCGTAGTAATATAGTATTATAGCAATGGAGTAGTTTGTTTGTTTAGTAGTGTAAGACACTTGCTGTACAGTGATTTCAGAATGCAGCAACACAAAGTAGTTATACAATAATATAGTCATATGGTGATAGAATGACACACATGTTGATCACATGAAGAGTGAAAACACACCTGCATTTTTGTTTGAGCTCTAAGCGGCGACGGGTGTTTCTGTAGAGGTGGCTTCAATGTTTAACCTAAGACAGCGGGGTCCCTAAACCCTAAACTCTAAACCCTGAACCCTATGCCTTTGGCCCGACAAGAAGGAGCCAGTACAATGCGACCCATGTCGACCACTCAGACCTCTCTACTTGGAGGTTCACGGGTAGTTATAAGCAGGGTTATGAGTACCCTAAGGAAGGTTTTCAAGCAAAGTTACCCTAACTTATAGCCCCACTTATATCTGCTCATGAACCTCCAAGTAGGGCCGCTCTTGTGCTCGACTGTCACGGACCCTACGCCTTGAACCCCAATTGGTGGGGGGGGGGGGTGCGTTTATGGGTACCCTAAACCCTAAACCCTAAACCCTAAACCCTAAACCCAATTGGGGGCCGCTTTTGGAATGGGTCCTATGATGAAAGCCCTACTCAAGTAGGCCATGTTCAGGGGGTCAAGGAACCCAATCTGTCCAGACGATGGAACTCAAGAAGCTCCAGGATGTGAGGTTTAGGGTTTAGGGTTTAGGGTTTAGGGTTTAGGGTTTAGGGTTTAGGGTTTAGGGTTCAGGGTTCAGGGTTCAGGGTTCAGGGTTCAGGGTTCATCAGGCACGACGCAACACGTCGAGAGGGAGCGCTGGGTCAGGTAGCAAGGGCGGCTCTCGCAGCTTTTGGATGCGAGAATGCTTTCCCTAAACCCTATAAACCCTAAGCCCTAAGCCCTAAACCCTAAACCCTAAAACCTAAACCGAGGTGAGTCCCACGCAGCTTCAGCTGCAGGTGGACATGGACCACATGCAAGTGGAGTGCCTTCTTGGCACTTAGTCGAACAAGAAACCCTCGGTAGGCCCTTTTTGGGATTTTCTAGTTTTCCTTATTGGGGTTTAGGGTTTAGGGTTGTTTAAGGTTTAAGGTTTAGGGTTTGGGGTTCAGAGGCTCATATTCAGGAATATTTGTCCGGGGGTTTTAAGGGCCATCCTAGTACCATGGGCTCGTGACATTTCACGTCCCCTTGTTTCCCGGCCCAAGAGTTCCTTTTGTGTAAGTGGAAGTGTAAGTGAAAGTGTAAGTGTAAGTGACAGTGTAAGTGTAAGTGTGAGAGTGTGTGTGTGTGTGTGTGTGTCTGTGTCTGTGTCTGTGTCTGTGTCTGTGTCTGTGTCTGTGTCTGTGTCTGTGTCTGTGTGTCTGTGTCTGTGTGTCTGTGTCTGTGTGTGTGTGTGTGTGTGTGTGTGTGTGTGCGTGTGTGTGTGTGTGTGTGTGTGTGTTGCAAGTCGGCATCAGAATGCGTTGCAAAGACGCCGGCAGACCCAAGGAACACTGGATAAATGGCGCGAAAGTCTACATTCGCATCACCTGTCATAGGGCCCCCTAAACCCTAAACCCTTAAAACAAACAAAACAATGCGTCAGTTTTTTCCCCTAAATAGCTTAGGGTTTCGTAGGGTTGAGGGAATACTTGGGCCTTAACGTACCTCCTCTATAGCGACTTTGGGACCCAGGTATAGAACAATATGGTACATGGACCCTTAGGGTTTAGGGTTAGGGGTTAGGGGTCAGGGTTTGGGGTTTAGGGTTTAGGGTTTAGGGTTTAGGGTTTAGGGTTTAGGTTGGCAAACGTGAGGTACAACGTCCTGCCGCCGGACTTCAACTTCACGCTCAGGCGGATGGCCTCCAAGAGCTACCTGCCCGGGAGCTTGGCCTACCTGAGCAGATCCCCGACTACAGCGGTGCCCTTTATGAGGGTACCCTTTTGGTTTAGGGTTTAGGGTTTAGGGTTTAGGGTTTAGGGTTTAGGGTTCAGGGTTCAGGGTTCAGGGTTTAGGGTTTAGGGTTACTTGGTAGCCCCCTTTCCCTCTTTTTGTTGGTTCAAGGTTCCCTTCTTAAGTAGCCAACCCCCAAAAAAAGGGAGCCCTTATCTTCATATGGTTACTGGGCCACCAAGCCGAGGGGCCTCAGGCCTTAAACCCAACTTCATGTCGGCTCAGGGTTCGAAATTCGGGGTCTTTAACTTAAAGGACGGTGGCATACCTGATCTTCGGGGGCATACGAAAGCGTCTGATGGAATTCGCGCCTAAACCTTGCAAGCCGCAGCAAGAACTAAAGCAGGCACGGTAAACGCCAAGCCTTTTGAGTCTGCGATAGGTGCATTCCAGACAAGTGCAAGGGCATCTCGGTCTTGGGAACATCCCCCCCCCCCCCCCCCCCCTAAATCTAAATTCCCCTCCAAAAGCCTTAAACTCCCTAAACCGCAGGAGTGGGCACCCTTGGTGGTGTGTGCAGTGCGGGGACCCGAAATCCGCCGAAACCGTGAGCTCCCTAAACCTCAACCCTGAACTCCCTAAACTAATCGTAAACCCTGAACTCCTTAAACATCCCAAATTCCTGAACCTCCTGAACTTCCTAAGCTTCCCAAACCCTCAAAAAGGAGCTTCCTAAACTCCCTAAACTTCCTTAGAACCCTCCAAACCCTCTAAACCCTAAACCTAAACCCTCTAAACCCCAAACTTCCTAAACCCTCAAAACCCTCTAAACCCTCTAAACTCTCTAAACCCTAAAAGCCCTAAACTTCCTAAACCCTAAAGCCTCTCAACTCCAGCACGTCGAGGCCCCGCTGTCTCATCGTGTCACCGCTTCCAGAATTTAAGGAGATGCGGAGCTTCAGCGAGGCGGGAAGAGTTCGCGCACTTTAGGGTTTTGGGGGTTTTGGGTTTTAGGGTTTTGGGGTTTTGGGGTTTTGGGGTTTTGGGGTTTTGGGGTTTTGGGGTTTTAGGGTTTTGGGGTTTTAGGGTTTTGGGGTTTAGGGTTTTAGGGTTTCATGGTTTTAGGGTTTTAGGGTTTAGGGGTTCAAGGTTTTAGGGTTTAGGGCTACTCCGAGGCCTCTCCCCCCCTTTGTTGGGGGGGGGGGGGGGGGGGGGGGGGGGGAGGGGGTTAACGGGAGTAGGATCGCTGGTACACCCGCCCCTTTAAACAATGTTTGGGTAAGAAAAACCTTCCCAAAGCAAGCGCCATTAGAGAAGCCTTACTTGGAGGTTCTAAAGGTGCAACAAGTTATAGCCAGGTTCCCCTACTTGAAAAACCCAATTCTAGCTGCCCATGAACCTCCGAGTATCCCTAAACCCTAAACCCTAAACCCTAAACCCTAAACCCTAAACCCTAAACCCTAAACCCTAAACCCTAAACCCTAAACCTTAAAACCCTAAATCTTAAGCCCCATGAATTTCCAAGCAGGGGGCCATTATGGATGCTCTAGGGCTCGAGGGAGTCCTTAGGACCTGAGGCTTGGCTTTCACCAAAGTCTAAGGATCCGATCTTAGTAGGTTTAGGGTTTAGGGTTTAGGGTTTGGGGTTTAGGGTTTAGGAGCCCGCATGTTAACCCACCCACCCCGAGCCCACCCTCACGCTGAACAACCGTCCGTACACACGTAGACTCTTGGGTTTAGGGTTTAGGGTTTAGGGTGTTGGGGTGGGGAGGAGGTACTCACACTTCCAGGACTCATTCGCAACATGGTGCCTTCATCTTCCCTGAAAAGAAATCGTCAGATCGCTACACAGGACAATAAAGGTTTAAAGGATGGTATATGTATGTGTATATATATATATGTACATACATACAAACGTACGTACGTACATACATACATACGTACACAGAGAGAGACATATATATATATATATGTATATACATACATGTATATATTTGTTGAGTGGTAGATACATAATTATACACATGTACAAACGACATGTGCAAACTGTGCAGCTGGTTTTCTATCGTCGTGTCGCACGACGATTGGTGGCCTCAGCCTATGCCCTTCAGATTTTTCGGCAAGGTTTCGAGTTATGAAAAGGGACCACCTCTAAGCTCCAACCGCCATGCATCCAAACAGTTCAGAACACAAAAGACACCCGCTGCGCCAGTCGCTCTTCGAGTATGTCCGGCTTGGAGGCGGTGTTTTCTGTGCAGGGTGTGAGTCACGAGGAGTCTGTTTTCAGTCTGGTTTTTCCTCGTTCCCTGGACCAGCATTCGGCATCACACATCAAGGGGCTGCCATCTGGGCAATTTAACAGGTCAAGCATCAATGACTTGTTGGGGGGGACTGCTTTGACGTGGTTCGAATGTTTTGCGTGCTTAAGCCTTACCTGCAAGTTGCATCATGTTCGGCCCATGAAAGCTTCAAAACCACGTGCCAAAACCGTGTATCAACTGCTAGATCCACAGCGTTCGAGCATACGAGTACCAATTCAGGGTCTCTAACGTCCAGAGGAATGAGGGGGTTTAGGGGTAACAACGAGGAAGTTTAGGGGGCCAGATTAGGTTCTTGCATAGAGTGGCTCGCGCAGGTCAGCTGTACGTCTTGGGCAGCTCTGCCAATGTTGAGATCATGTCCCAGGTCTCCTGGCCGATGTTTCTTTTAGCTGAGGGTTTAGGTGGTAGGGACCCTAAATCCACGACTCTCTCGCTTTTAGTCGTCGTCGTCGCCGCCGCCATCGTCGTCGTCGTGGTGGTGGTGGTCGTGGTGGTGGTCGTGGCGGTGGTCGTGGTGGTTGTCGTGGTGGTGGTCGTGGTGGTGGTGGTGGTGGTCGTGGTCGTGGTCGTGGGTGGTCGGGGTGGTGGTGGTTGTGGTGGTCGTCGTCGTCGTAGTAGTAGTAGTAGTAGTAGGAGTAGGAGTAAGAGTAGGAGTAGGATTAGGAGTAGGAGGCAGCAGCAGCAGCAGCTGTCCTCACAGTCGTCGTCGCATTTGCCTATGGGTAATATATATATATATATATAGTGTCTGGCATATGGAGCCCTCTAAGAGTATGACTAGTATTACACAGGATTGAGAATTGGGCTTAGGGCTTCGGAGTCATGACTTAAACGCACCCCCCCCAACAAAAACAAAAGCCCTCCAGTATGTGTTAAGTGCCTACTCTGCTACTATTATTATTTTTATCACTATCATCATTATTATTGTTGTTATTTTTATGCGAATCATAATACTTATTATTATTATTATTATTATTGCATGATGATTTTGATGATTCTTCTGTGCAGTTGGGAGGGTTTAGGTTGAAGCTTGAGGCCTTCAATCTCAGCTTGGAGGCCGCCGAGCCGCCACCTCAGCCACTGGGGGGGGGGGGAGGGGGGGGAGGGTTTAGGGTTTGGGGTTTGGGGTTTAGGGTTTAGGGTTTATTGGGGTTTAGGGTTTAGGGTTTAGGGTTTAGGTTGGGATGTTCCCCCTTATACTAAGTACCCCTCATGATCATCCCTATTAAGGACTGCTAGTACCAGGGTTGAACATCTCAAGTTTTCGGTTTCAGGGTGGGTGCCGGGGGGGTCTCGAGCTCTATAAGCCCCGACACGGCTGACTTGCAGGCACCAGGTTGGTGAGGAACGATCAGGTTCATTCGTAGCTTTAGGAATTAGATGATTCGTCATAATATTAGTCGGAATGGTGCCCTACACTATACTTGTGAGTCCGCCCCTTGTAGGCAAATCACTTTAAGTCGAGAGGGGGTCTGAACTCGGGTTTAGGGTTCAGGGTTTGCGGATTGGGGTCTGTCTCGGCCTCTCCGGGTCGTTGATGGGAAAGTCTCCAACAGGGTTACCCTAAACTGAGAACCCTAACCCCTGAAACCCAAAGCCCTGAAATCTAAAGCCAGGGCCAGAAGACCCGACACAGCACTTGCAGCATGCAAGCCGCCGTGCTTCCAAGCATCACGTAAGTCAGCTTGCTGCTACGCACCGAACCACAAAGTCGTCTTCTTCAAGGTCTACTTGTAGCTAAACCCACTGGCGTTTCGGGTTCAGGGTTTAGGGTTTGTGGAAACCCTAAACCCGAAACTAGGCAGGAGGCATCACGTGTGGTTCTGGGATGCTCTGCAAAGGGTCTGAACGGCGAGAGGCCCAGACTTCAGCAGGGTTTAGGGGTTCAGTTAGAGTTTAGGGCTTAGGGCTTGGGGTTTAGGGCTTAGGGTTTAGGGTTTAGGGGTTCAGGGTGTAGGGTTTAGGGCTTGAGGAGACCCGCTGCCCGAAAAGTGTTTCAGGTTTTAGGGTTTAGGCCGACTGCCCCAAGCCCGGATGCAAAAGGGTTTATGCCGCATTCGGGGTCTCTGGACAGGAACAACTTACTCAGCCCCCCCCCCCCCCCCCCATACGATGACAGCTTTTTATGTTCACTACGGAGGGCCCAGGATCGCCTTAAACTAATGTTGCTTGTATTTAGGCATGCCAAAACCCTATACCCCATGCCCTAAACCTTAAACTCAAGCACTCGGAGGTTCAGGGAAGTTACGAAAGGGGTCCTTTGTAAGGACTTGGCAACCCTACTTATAACTAACCCTGAACCTCCAAGTAGCCCTAAACCCTAAACCCCAAACCCCAAACCCTAAACCTTAAACTCAAGTAAGGACTGGCAATGAGCAAGTGCGGACGATGCCGGCGTTTGGTCCTCAGTTCTGGTCCCAAAGCCGCTTTGGCTCCGACATTTTCTGCGGCCTCACTACTCAAAGGTCCTGAGGGGATTTTATAAAAGGGGTTTAGGGTTTAGGGTTTAGGGTTTAGGGTTACTTGAAGGTGCAGGGGTGGTTATGGGTAGGGTTATATTGGGGTTTAATTATCGTTCCCCTACTCCTCACCGTACTTTTCAACGACCCACGAACCTCCAAGTGCTGCTCGAGCGCGAGTTTCGTGGACTCGGGTTATGAGGTTGGAATTCAACAAGTACAGGTGAAAAGGTTGTTTTCAGGCAACATGGAACAAAACCCTAAACCCTAAACCCTAAACCCCAAACCCTAAACCCTAAACCCTAAATTGAGAGCCCTGTTCATTGCCTTAGTAAGTGGCCTGTGAATCTTCCCTAGACCCTAAGCTCTAAGCCCTAAAACCCTAAACCCTAAACCCTAAACCCTAAACCCTAAACCCTAAACCCTCCCTGGTGTGCGCGGCGCGGGTGGCAAGGCAAAAACAGCAGGCGCGGGTGGCCAGGCAAAAACAGCAAATGCTAGACCCCTTGTGAGCGGGGTGGTTCCTAACCCTAAACCCTAAACCCTAAACCCTAAACCCTATAAACCCTGAGACCCTAAGGCCCCAAGTAACGGTCCCCAGAAATATTCATAGAACGGGCCAGTAATTTTTTTATGAAAAGGAATGGTGGTTTCGTTCGCCCCTTTAATACATTTCATGCGCTCACAAGTTCACTTCTAAATGCATTAAAGAAGCTCTCTTCACTTAATATAATTTTATTACGTAGAGAATTAAATGAATGCATTTGTAAACGAAATTAGTGCACGAAATGCATGAATTTAATGAACGAAGTGCACGAACGCAATAGTTTTTTTATTAAAATGCGCGCGTCGCTGCGTTCCTTGCATTTTAATAATAAATTAGCGTCCGTGGGTGAACTTCATTCGCGAGCTCCTTTGTTCACTTCTCTTTTAGTATTAATATAGTCAGCTTGCGAACGCCCCACGGGGGGTTTCTGTGATGAGGCGGCCCCTAATATCTAAGGTACCCCTAAGAAGAGACCACAATTTAGAGAAGTGACCCTGAACCCTCAACACTCAACCCTCAACCCTCAACCCGACACCCTAAACCCCCGTTCTTGGGCTTCCTGGGCGCGCAGAGGCCAAGTGAAGCAATGGGTTTCGACAGCGGGCTGCCGACGACTCTGCCGGCCGGGGATCTCGGTCTTTAGGGTTTAGGTTTTAGGGTTGTGGGTTAAGGGATTTAGGCTTTAGGGGTTCAGGCTTTAGGGTTTAGGGGTTTAGGGGTTTAGGGGTTTAGGGGTTTAGGGGTTTAGGGGGTTTAGGGGGTTTAGGGGGTTTAGGGGGTTTAGGGGGTTTAGGGTTTCGAGTTGGATTCAGAAGTCCTGGACTCACAATCATTATGGGTTCCCCTACTACCCCCCTCTGTACTATGCCCCGCCCAAATTTCCCCCCTTAGAAAACCTCAATTAGGCTTAATTCTCCCTAAGTCACCTCAATTCTCGGGGGAACCTAGGGGGGGGGGGGCTAAACCCTAAACCCTAAACCCTAAACCCTAAACCCTAAACCCTAAACCCTAAACCCTAAACCCTAAACCCTAAAAACCCTAAACCCTAAACCCTAAACCCTAAGCCCTAAGCCCTAAGCCCTAAGCCCTAAGCCCTAAGCCCTAAGCCCTAAGCCCTAAGCCCTAAGCCCTAAGCCCTAAACCCTAAACCCTAAACCCTAACCCTAAGCCCTAAGCCCTAAGCCCTAAGCCCTAAGCCCTAAACCCTAAACCCTAAACCCTAACCCCTAAACCCTAAACCCTAAACCCATGACACAAGGGGTCTGGAGCTTGGGGATGCTCAAGGCTTTGGATGGGAGGGGCCTTCTCTGGCTGTAGGGCCCTCCCAAACCACAGCAACGAGTTGAGGTTTAGGGTGGGTTTAGGGTTTAGGGTTTAGGGTTTAGGGTTTAGGGTTTAGGGTTTAGGGTTTAGGGTTTGGGGATTTGAGTCGGCGAACAAAGGGTGGGAGAGTTGTACCCCACGCGTGCACTGACGCCTCAATCTGCTTATATCGCGAGGGAACGCCAGTTCATACCTTCTACTTCGAGGTTCATGGGTAGTAGTTATAAGTAGGGTTACAAGCACCCTAGGTCAGGGTATAAGTATAGTACCTATACTAACCTTATTAACAACCTCACATAGAACTCCTGAACCTCCAAGTATGAAGCTGGACGTGCGGCAGCACTTGTCCACCTTCGATAGCCCAGGTCAGGTCTGGACAGCCTACTTGGAGGTTCATGCGTAGTTATTTGGGTTTGGGTTTAGGGTTTAGGGTTTAGGGTTTAGGGTTTAGGGTTTAGGGTTTAGGGTTTAGGGTTTAGGGTTTAGGGTTTAGGGTTTAGGGTTTAGCACAGTAGGGTTACAAGTAGGCTAACCATACTTGTAACCTTGCTTAGGTTACTTATAGAACCCTATACTTTTAACTAACCGTGAACCTCCGAGTAGGGGGGAAGACGCCGAATGACCTGAGTCAGGTTACGGTCGAGCTTTGAGCAAAAGTGGGACGTTGCTGGGGATGAGCAGCTACGATTGGGCGATGCAACACGCTAAACCCTAAACCCTAGACCCTAGACCCTAGACCCTAGACCCTAAACCCTAAACCCTAAACCCTAACCCTAAACCCTAAACCCTAAACCCTAAGACTTGGCTGCCTTGAGCTTCTTTTTCTTCGCCGGCGCTGGGCCCTGAAAGCCCTAGAGCACAAGGCTCGGGCCTAAGGTTTCGACTCTCACCACTGTACCAGGAGCCCCCTTTGTTTTGGGGTTGTACAGGGGGTTTAGGGTTTAGGGTTTAGGGTTTAGGGCTACTGGGAGGTTCATGGGTACCAGGAGGGATACGAACTATACTTAAGGGACTTCTTACTTACTCTAGGATCCTTTTAACCCAATTTAGGGCCCTCACAACTCTACTTCTAACTAGGGGGGGGGGGGGGCCCCCTCCTTTCAACTAGGAGGGGGCCCCTCCTTGTGGGGTCACACGGGACTGCTTCCAGGTCATAAACCAAGTTCTGAGCTTGCGGATGCCGAAGACGACCTCCAGCAGGCCTCTGCTTCGGGGCTATCAGGGTTTTAGGGTTTAGGGTTATCAACTGCCCTAAGTAAGGGCTATAACCAGTTATAACTAATGTTACCCGACTGATATTCCCACTTATAGCAACCCATGAACCTCCAAGGAGGGTTGTAGGGATTGAGCGGAGCATCTTTTGAACCAGGAGGGGGTGCTATAAAACCTTCATTGGACTTCAGCGACAAGACCTTGTTGGCCCAGGGGTACCCTTTCCCTTTTTGTTTGGTTCAAGGTTCCCTTTTAAAGTAACCAACCCGAAAAAAGGGTGGCCTTAATAAAATACGTGTACTGGGTTACCAAGACACCAGAGGTGACCAAAGGGACATTCCAACAGTTCTTGCCTGCAGCATGCAGTCCTTAGTATTTGGGCTGTAGGGTTGTCGATGCAATTGTCATCGTGCCAACTGACGTGCAGAGTCTAGGTTCAGAAATGGTTTAGGGTTGTTTAGTTTGCTGTAAAGAGAGGTTTTTTAGTTCGGGGACAGGTCGTAGTGTCAGCACATAGAGTGTAAAGGCAAAGGTTCCACCCTTGGCTTCTTCGAACGTTGTGAGCCGCGACCCGAATAGGGCTGAGGACTTCGAGGCCTTTAGGCGAAACTTGAGGGTTTAGGGTTTAGGGTTTAGGGTTTAGGGTTTAGGGTTTAGGGTTTAGGGTTTGTAGAGACCCTAGACTGGGGATATTCCCCCTTATACTAGCAGCTCCTGAATAGGGATCACAATAGGGGACTACCATAAATCCCTATTCAGGACTGTTAGCATAAGGGGGAACATCCCAACCCTAAACCCTAAGCCCTTATTTCTCTCTCCGAACATGCTGGTCATGCTTGTGCGTCAAGGCTTTACCGACATCCCGTAGGGGTCGGAAGAAGCCGACCTTTTCTAGGGCGCTGGGGCTCCAAGTAACCAAGACCTACTCTGCAGCTTTAGGGCTTCGGGGAGTAGGGTCTACAAATAATGTGGGTAACTTGGGGCAGCCTCTTTTTTTCGGGGGGGGCGGGGGGGGATCGAACCAGGATCGCATGAGTGGGAGAGCGTCAGAGAATTTAGGTGCTTGGAGCGCTCGTTTTCCAAAAGTTTAGTGCTCGGCCATGGTGCATGCCGCCTCTCATGCTTTCATCGTCACCGCGGTCGCGCTCTACATCAGCGGCTCGGCAAGTTGAGGCCCTGTAGAACGTCTAGGGTTCTAAACCCTAAACCCTAAGCCCTAAACCCTAAACCCTAAACCCCTTTAGGAGTTTAGGGTAAGAACGGGTCCCCTTCAAGAGAGCTGCCTCAAGTTGTTTAGATGCAAAACTTGTCTGTCTGTTCGCGAATATTGTGGGATAGTGGGTTGCTGCGGGCTGCACTTGAGGGCGGAAGCTCAGAAGCTCAGCCTTGGTCTTTTCAAGGGCTCAGGGTTTCGGCACCTTTTTTTTTTCTCTCTGAAACGAAGTTTAGGGTTGAAGATTCTGGCTACGAGGAGCACAGAAGCAACGAATCCGAGCCTTCCGCCTGAGGCGCGAACCTCAAAGTTGGCCACCCGCACGCCAGGAAGGCTTTGAAGGCGTGTCTCGGGTTAGGGTTTTTGGGGTTTTCGGGAATACGTTCCCCCTTTTTCTAACAGTCCTTAATAGGCATTGGCATACCCCCTGTTATAGTCCTACTATTAAGGACTGTTAGTATATAAGGGGGAACATCCAAACCCTAAACCCTAAACCCTAAACCCTAGACATCCCGAAAAACCCACTTTTAGCTGCAAAAGCCCTCCCGTCACTGCGGAAGGATGTCTGGGCATCGTGCGTGCAGCCCCTTACCAGCTGGAGGGGTGACAGTGAACTGCGCCAGCGCTGCTTGTCAGAAATAAAGGGTAAGGGCTTAGGGTTTAGGGTTTAGGGTAGAATTTGGTTTCGGCTTTAGAGGAAGCCGCATACCCGCAGTATAAGCGGAAGTCTCCCAATGATCCAAGCACGGCTGGGCTTAGCAAATGGTAAAAAAGTCGGGGGCTATGGAAACCCTAAACCCTAAACCCTAAACCCTAAACCGCAAAGACACATGCACTAAACCCTAAACCCTAAACCCTAAACCCTAAACCTTCAGGGCTTAACTAGGCTTCTCTAGGGGGGTGGGGTGGGTGGGCAGTGAGCACCGCAAGTCGCTCACCAGAATGATGCATTGTCTTGGAGCTGGTGGCCATGGAATTGTAGGGTGTAGGGCTTAGGGTGTAGGGTTTAGGGTTTGGGGTTTGGGGTTTAGGGTTTGGGGTTTGGGGTTTAGGGTTTAGGGTTGAGGGTTGAGGGTTGAGGGTTACTAGGATGGCATAGGTTCCTTTGACCCCCCATTCAAGGGACGAAAGGAGGGACCTTGAAAAAGGGACCTTAGTCAGGGCTCATGTTTGGGGGAGTTTTTGGGGGGGCAGGGACTTTTCTTAAGGTATGTATGGGGGTTATGAGAAGGGGAAGTAAGATCAAGGGTCTTTTGTGAGGGGTCCCTCCTTTGACCCCTTAGCCCCATCTCTCCCCAATGCATGGTCGGAAGATACGGATGGATATATGGGGCTTTACGAAAATAAGGGACCCCCTTAATAGAGAGCCCCAAAATAGGAGGATTCCCTTAGAGTAAGGACTCCAATAAGGTATCCCCTCCTTTCGGAAACCCCCAGAATACGCATCCTCCACCTCCTCCGAGCTGAGGATACTTGGAGGTTCATGGGTAGGCATAAGTAAGAAACTATACCTATAACCTGACTTAGGGTACTTAAAAACCCCCCAACTATAACTACCCATGAACCTCCAAGTATATGGGATGACATGTAGAGCTGTAAGAATTTAAAAAATCAGCACATGAGAGCGAGCTGTAAGCAGGGGTAGCTTGGTACAGGCTCTGGAGCGGCCTCGCTTTTCAAACTGGGAGAGAGCTTCAGATGGACCAATGACACAGTACACTGCATTCTAGAGCCTAGGGTTTAGGGTTTAGGGTAGCCGATCATGGATCAAGCCAAGACCCCAGGAGAAACATAAGGCCTTGCAGGTGTTCAGTTGCACTTTGTTGGAGTGCGCGGGCACGTGCGTGCGCAGCCTGCGGACACCTGATGCCACATTCGCAGCACGCATCAAATACTAATCAAACCCAAACTCAGTGGATGGGTGCCGGATGGGTGGAGGGCAAACACATTCCCGGCTGCCTCACACCACACGTGCAGGGCGTGCGCATGGATGGGGGAGGGTGGGGAGAGAGGTGGAACCTCACTTGCACAAAGCGCCAGAGCAGCCGTCTGTGTTCGGAAGCCCACGTCCCCTCGTGCAAAGTGGACTGACCACATTCAGAAGTCTGGAAGGTCCCCAATTACCCTGCATTCAGGCGGCCGAGCATTTTGCTGCGTTTCCCTAAGAAGACCCTTACTGCCCTTTTTAAGGGTTTAGGTTCCCCAAAAGAGCCCCTTTAAGACAAGAAGGGCACCCTTTCTATTCCTAGTTGGACTGATCTTATAAGTTCAGGGTTGAGGGCCGCATCCTCATGCCTCCCCAGGCATTCATGAGCAATGGATGGGCCCATATCGGAGCTGGGTGTCGCTGCTGCTGATCTCGCTGGAGCATGGGGTTTAGGGCTGATGTACTGGGCGTGTCTCGAAGGCGAAGGCTCTACTTGAAGGTTCATGGGTAGTTCTATAAGGAGGGCTGTAAGCAAGGTGGGTACTTGTAGAGCCTTTTTTAGAAATACCCAGGGAAGCTCCTAGCAGTGCGTGTTTAGGGTTACTCAAGGCTTGGGGTGTACCAACCAGGCCAGAACCGGGCTTCGGGTTTAGGGTTTAGGGTTACGATTCAGTGGGAGCTTAAACTTGAGCAGACTTCGAGCAGTGCATCACGAAGCTTTTGACGTGAGGGCCTGGTGGAAACAGAGTTTTAACGTGTTTGCTTTTGAGAGTTATGACTTCCAAGTTACCCTAAACCCGAAACGCTGGTTACGCTGGTTACCCTAAACCCTAAACCCGGGGGAGGGCGGGGGAGGGGGGGGGAGCGGCACGGGAGCCAAAGGGAGAAGCCAAGTGGACATTTTGGTTGAGCTGCCTGTCATGAAGATCATATCTGAACATGCAGCCGTCTACAAGCTACCTAAATTTCCATAGAATATGATATCTTATACCCTCAGAAGTGGGTTGCACCCTAAACCCTGAGCTCTAAACTATAAACCCTAAACCCTGAGCTCAAAGGAAGCCCCACGAAACCCTAGAAGCCCATGGCTGAGAGCCTTGCCTAAACCCTAAACCCTAAACCCTAAACCCTAAACCCTAAACCCTAAACCCTAAACCCTAAACCCTGGTGCACATGGAGGAGTGCTACGGCACCGTGTTCGCTGTGCTTGGCCTCGTGAGAACGGAGGGCTCCAAGCCCGCATATCGAGATACGCAGCTTCATCTGCACAAGAGACTTAGGGTTTAGGGTCAGGGTTTAGGCTAGGGTTTAGGGTCTAGGGTTTAGGGTTCAGGGTTTAGGGTTTAGGGAGGGCTTTTTCTGGCATTCCCCACCCAGCCCAGATGGAAACAGCGTTTAGGCTTAAACAGGGTTTAGGGACATCGGGCCTTTTGAAGGTGTGAGTGGCTGTTATCCCTTGAAGACATCGCAGCCATCGCACTTCTCAATCGAGTCGGTCAGAAGGGTTCATGTTATATATCAGCATCCATGTTCTGCTTCAAGCCCTTGGCCGTCAAGGTTCGGCATTAGGGTTTAGGGTTTGGTTTAGCTGCTCCGACCTCGAAGTATGGTCTATCAGATCAAGCATCATCATCCCGGGAAACACGAGCATTGGTTTGCTGTTGCTCGTCAAGACTAAACAGACTGCAAGTTGCACTTGGACAGAGACGATACAAGTCCCAGTAGTCAAGTGCTCATGACATCATCCATCTCCTACCTTCTCCTCATCACCACCACCACCACCACCACCACCATCATCATCATCATCATCAGTTCTTTTCAGCGCAGGCCCCAAACAGTGCAAGACCA